TCATCTGAAGATTCAGACCATACCTTCTTTGACTCCCTACTTGACGGGTGCGACTATGTCTGCCCGAACGATGGTTGGAGCCAAAAGAGTTGGGATGAACTTCTGGTAAGTGACACTGAAGACGCATCCATGGGGGAGGGTACGATCATAATCATCAAACCACAAATGGATAGTCAGCCAATTGAAGATAAGGAAGAAATCAATTTCGCAATCAAGGCTAATGATGTGGATCTACTGAGGAGACTTCCGCCACCACCCACCTATACAAAGTCTCCTCCATATATCCTGTTGCCACCAAGCCGCAGGGAGGAGTCAAGGATCCTGGACCTTGACCGAGCAACAAATCAAACAAGGTGGCACCAGAAGAGAGTTAGAAGGGCCAAACTTTATGACTCTCGGATCGGGAAGTCGCGGAAAAAGTGGGTGAGCGTCGAGCTACGGACGTTAAAGAAGCGCTTAACGGGAGGCAACCCGTCATTCAAATAACTAAAATAATTAAATTCAATAGTTTATTTGTTAGTTTTTGAGGTTATGCTTGCCGCACCAGTTTTGGGGGCAAGAGTTATTTTGTTTATTGTCTTTGCTTTTGCAGATGAGAGCATGTAATTGCATGTGAGCATTTCAACCAATAACTCCAATTCCAAAATGCTTTTAACCACGAGGGCGTGGTTCCGTTTAAGTGTGAGGAGGTAAGAGTTCGTGGTTGAAATGATCTTTTTAGGAATTGTTTTGTCTATATATTTTAGGAAAAGATTTTTATAGAATAGTCATCAATTTTAATTGTTTGATTAATTACTCTTTAGTTATCACCCGTGGAAATTGGAAATTTTTAAAATTTTTGTCTAACTTTTATTTCTACTCTAACCTTATGGGAATGTTTTCTAAAATGATTTGGGATAAATTCACAATTTATTAAGAGTTTTTTTAGATCAATTAATTTTTAAGTGCTTTATTGAAAATCTTTTTGCTGGTGCTCTTATGAGTATTTGTTGTTTCTTAAAGAGTTATTTTCAAAGTATTGTTAGAATAAAGGCCCAACGCTAGAGGGGGGGTGAATAGCGTTCGAAACAAAATCGCAGGAAATTAAAAATGAGAGCGATAAAGTAAATAGCGTAAGGAAGGAGCACACCGAATTTTATCCTGGTTCACCACAACGTGTGGCTAATCCAGCCTCCCGAGAGACTCTCTCGAGCTACACTAACTCCGTTAAGCTTAAGGGTGCTCAACAAACCGATACAACTTGAGAACTCGAGTCACACGAGCCTCAACGCCTTTGCTCGGAGATACCGCACTCCAAGACTTCTCACGAAGGAACAAAGAACTTCCTTCGAGTTTACAACAAGGGAACAACCTCCCTTAAAGTGTATAAAAACACTTAAACACTCAGGAATAAAACTCTCACAAAGAGTAGATATGAGTGAACTAGTAAACACTCAAGAACACGACAATTTCTTCAAGAATAGGCTCTCAAAAGCTAAGAAAAATAGGAATGATTATGCAATGAAAGAGTATTGAAATGTTGAAGAATTGTGTGTAAAATGAGAGGATTTGGGTGCCATTTTATAGCCCAAAATGGGATAAAACCGTTGCTAGAATTTCCAACAGGTTGAAGACAAATTTTTCAGAGACACAGGCTGATAGTCGATTATCCAATCGTAATAATCGATTATCAAAAGATTCCTTGTCCAAAAATTTAAAATTCTATCCGTTGGAGGACAACGGTAACCCAGATAATCGATTGTCAACAAGTGATAATCGATTATTGGTCCTCTTAGAAGATTCTGGGTTTTGGCTGCTCAGGTTGATAATCGATTATTGCATAAGTGATAATCGATTATTGAGTGCTTCAGAACTTTGGAATTCCAAAGCTGTAGGGGCTGATAGTCGATTGTCACTAAGGTGATAATCGATTATCACCCAGCTAAAGTCTAGCCAACTGAAACCCGTTTTGAAAAACCGAGGTCCAAAAACGAAGTGTTCCCAAAAGTAAAAACCAAGTTTGAAAAATATTGTATATGGTATAAAATAGTGAAACCAAGACTTGTTTGGTAAAAACCAAGTCTCCAAGGTCGTAAATCACGTGTGTACGGTTATGACCGTTTCTCACATGTTAGACCGATTGACCAAGATACAAAAGTGGTTTTTATGAAATAATTATTTGGGAACCTTTTAAATATGCTCAGAGATAAAAAACAAGGTTTAAAACATAGAAAACCACCGAGTTGGTTCGGACGCCAAAAAAAACCGAATGCCGAACACGGTACGCCGACTTAGGTGATTTTGGTTCTGAGCAAGGACCAGGGATTTTAAAAAAAAATATCAAAAATGTTTTTTTTGATGCACAAAAATATTTTATGATTTTGTAAAATTATTTTGACTCTTTGAGAACCGAGACTTGAATTGATTGTCGGTTTTGATCACAAAAGACCGACTCGACTAAGTCTTAAATTCTTGATCTTGTCCTTGAGTCTTTTAGGTCTTGTTCCATGCCATTCTTCGCGCCTTGAGTTATGCAACGAAACTCTTTATATCCACGGCGGTTTGGCAATATCAAAACCTGTCAGAAATGAACACGACTTTAGTTAAACGTGCAAAGTGTGTTCCAACAATTTCCCCCTTTTTGATAATGGCAAACAAGACGGGGATATGCATAGGGTTTTGATCTTTTTTTTTAAAAAAAAAATTCCCCCTTCCCCCTTAATAAAATTCCCCCTGAAAAATATGCATAGCCCTTATCTTCCCCCTTTTGACATTAACAAAAAGATTTAATAACAAAAACCATAAAGATTTTTATTAATTAATTAAGGGAAGTGGAGGAGTGCATAACGAAAGTACATAAAAAGATGATAAAATAAGGAAGAGGAGAAAAATAGAGCTAGAGCTCTTAGAAGTCCGGGGAAAGATCATTGAGAAGTTGTTCTTCGTCAATGTCTTCTTCTTCAACGTCTCCATCTTCATCACCATCGCCATCATCATCATCATCATCATCATCATCGGCTTCTTCTTCCTCTTCTTCTTCTTCTTCTGCTTCTTCTTCTTCAACGTCCGCTGCGTCGTCCCTACCAACATTTTGAGTCCCGCTTGGTTCACCTCCGAAATTCAGTGGAGGAGCATAGGGGACCATTTGAGCGTAAGGGTAATTGACAAAGTCAAAATACCCGTGAAGCTCACGGCTCAAAATATCGACGTTGTGTGCCGTTTTGGAGACGTTGGTGTCTATCCGAGACAAGGTAGTGGTCAAAGCCGCCATTTGCTCGGCGAGAGAAAGATTGGTTGAAGCGGTGGCAGTCGAGGCAGTAGCTCTCGGTTGGCGACGAGGACGAGGCTACGGGAATGTAGCTTCATCGGTTCCCGGGTGGAAGGAGGACTCGTCAATCACCCAATGCTTCGTCCCTTTGCATTTCGGCCCGACGTCCGTCTTGATGTGGTACTCATCAAGGATTGCCATGACGAGAAGAGCATAGGGGAGCGGCCGGTTGTCGGAGGTGGCGTTGAACATGTGGATCATCACAAATTTACACCAATTGATATTGGCGTTGTGAATCATCGCATGGATCGTCTTCGTGTCTTCTTGGGAGAGAGTGGTGTGGTTGAACTTCCTGGGCTTGAGGATCCGTGTCAACACACAGAAGATGAAACGATACACGGGACTCATGGAAGAAATCGTAGGACGCCGCTGTTGAGGAGTGGGGACGAAGTTTCGGATGCCCACTTCCTCCAAGAGGGCGGTCTCGTTGAACCGCGCTCCTTCTTCTCCGACGTAGAGCCCGAGATCCTGTCCGTCCCGACGAAGCCCGGTGAGGATTTGAATGTTTTCCTCATTCAAATAGATCTCTACCCCATTGACGTTTGAAATCAATGATCCGTCCTCATCCTTTTTCAAGTTCGAGTAGAAGGCTCGAACAAGAAAAGGTTGATAGTCGTTCTTCTTGATGTAGAGTAGGTCGAGGAAGTTTCCTTCTTGGAGGATGACCCGTGCCTCCCGTGGAATGGAATCGTGAATGAAGCGTGCGGTGGAGAACCGGGGAGGGAGAATTTCCCGGTGCTCAAACTTCTCCGAGAACCGCGTTGCCTCTGCGCGGTCGTTGAACCAAAGGAACGACCCATCGAGGTACTTGTGCGCCGGTGGTGGAGGAGGAGCCGAGGAGGAAGCAACGTTCTTCCCGGTGCGAGATCGTTTTCTTTGACCTCCTGCCATTGCAACAAGAGAGAGGAGAGAACAAATTTGCAGAAATTTTATATAGAAAAAGAAGAACTATCGCAAGAATGATGAATTATGATGAATATATTGAGAGAATATGATTGGAATGAGTAAATATTGAAGGGATATCACCAATTTATAGTGGAGGAGGCCTGAAGATCCGTTGGTGTGGTCAAATGTGAGTTTAATGCAGTTCCAACGGTTAGAAAACGGTCAGATTTTTGAAAAATCGCCGTTGATAATCGGTTTACACTCCCTGTAAATCGATCATCTGAGTCTTCAGATTCTCCGCCAAAAAGAACTGCAGGCTGCGATAGTCGATTTACGGGTTTAAGTAAATCGATTGTTGAAGTTTGCGCCTGAGTTTCTTTGAACTTCTGCAGCCTCAAATAATCGATTATCTCAATGTTGATAATCGATTGTTAGCTCCTTCAGATTCTTGGCTCCAAACTTCTGCGGGCTCTGATAGTCGATTATCACAAGCCTGTAAATCGATTTACAGCATGTTTTGTAAAGAAAATCGATTTACTTTGTTCCCCTGACTTTGACACCTGAAAATAAAAAAACATTTGGTACCCGTTTGGTCTTTTGGGTCCTAGAGGATTAGTCACACGACTTTTTAAACTAATAAACACACGCACCCATAATTACATACACATTTTACGCAAACACACACACACACACACACGTACCAACACGCGTGTTTAAGTGTTACCTTGGCCAACTTGTCGTTTTGCGGTTGGCGGGTTCCAGTCTACTTGAACCGAATGTCTATACCTCGGTTTGATTTGTGTGGGTTCTGGAAGTGGTATGTGAATCTTCTTCTGTTCATCATAATAGAAGAAGTAATATGGTTTCTTTTGCGTTGATTCCTGCAGGGATTGGTTAGAAATCGAATATCCTTTTTCAAAGGATTTCATTAGGTTAGTTCCATGCAAAGTGTGTGTTTTGTTATATGTGCAATGCCTATGCCTACTAAAACACACAGGTGCTATATGACCTACCCTATTGCAATAATGACAAATAACATTTGGATTATGCATTCTCCTAGGTTGATAATAGTTGCTAGGTTTTCTAACTTGCTCATTGTTCATCCTAGTGTTCTTTCTAGGTGGTCTAGTGTTCCTAATTGTTCTAGGTTGTCTATTATCTTGATTTTCATTATTCCTAAGTTGAGCTTTAGGTTTCCTAGATGGTTGCTCAACTTTTTCTTTATTATTAGTTTCATTTTCAAAGCCTAAGCCATGTTTAGTAAGTTGCAAATTATCAAGAACATCATTAAGGTTTTTATGAGAAACACCAAATTCTTCAAGGTTCCTTCAAGTTTTGCAACTTGTTCCTTAAGGGATATATAAGAACTACATTTTGAACTTTCCGGTTTGTCGGCGCTTCTTTTTCCGAAAAACTTATTTTCTTCTTTAAGTTTTTCATTATCTTTTGATAGTTTATCAACTTCCTTCTCCATGGAAGTAAGTTGTTTCTTCAAATCCTTGTTAATTTTAGAAGCGTTGACATATTCATCATAAAGTTCATTAAAGGCTTCTTGTACATCATCAAAAGTATAGGAATCTTTAGAAGTTGTACATACCTCTTCCGGTGGCTCCTCGTGTGCCATGAGGCAAAGGTTGGCGCTTTCATTTTCTTCGCCTTCTGATGACTCGTCGCCGAGTCACCTCCCCATGAGATGTAAGCTCGGTGCTTCTTGAACATTTTCTTCTTGTTCTTGGCGTTTGGACATTTTGGTTTTATATGCCCAACTTCTCCACACCCATAGCATTTGGGTGGACTTCCTTGCTTCTTTCCTTTCCGTTCATACTCTTGGCTCATGAACTTATGGAATTTCTTGAGCACGATCCCGAGCTCGTCTTCATCACTCGAGTCTTCCATAGCACGTTCTTGGCTTGTAGATGCCTTGAGTGCAATCCCCTTCTTCT